GTTTGGATCGCGATGAATGGAAGCGGCCCTGGTAACCTACGTAATATTTCAGATAAGATATATATAATTGACATGCGGGAATGATAATGTGTGAATAATAACATCACCAGTTTATCATTATTACTAAACGTAAACTAGTTATCAAGTTGCGTGACAAACAATACTCTCGGATTTTATCGTAACGCGATATCAGCTTCTATTTTCGAATTAATCCAGCACATGGTCACGTCCATCGTATCAATTACTGCTGGTCAGCGCAATGTTACGTCACAGTGGTTAGTCGTGTTCCATATGGTGCTATAACAGTACCGTACTGTCTGTTACGGCTAAGTCGAACCATATGCATTACTCTGTGGTCAAATATGTAACACTTATCGCTCGTCATCTTTTATAATCCGAAGGGGTAACATTTCCCATCGTATGTCAAGATCACTGCGCTAGTTATTGGTTACCCGAGTAGGTCGTGTAGCAGGTTAGCTCGGGGGTAGGGGAAGAGATGAATAAAAAGGGGGGTAGGGAGGGGTAAACTAGTCCTCTAAGGTCAAATGTTCACGTATTAGTTTTTACAATCAGCGGGGTATAAATTCGCTACATCCGTAATAGTCCCGGAGAAATTATATTAGATAGATCTTGTCTCGTCTCAGCACTGTCGTCATAACATACGTAATATTTAAATCAGCCACGTGCATTGGTACGTACATTTAAACCTTCTAATCTAATTATTTAAAGAGTTCTAGGGAATGTATTGGCCTCGTTCTGGCGCGTGGTAGTGTTGCTAAGTAAGGAGCCACGTGGTAAGCTATCCACATTTCTTGTTAATTAGATAAAATTAAGAAAATATTGGGTTTTAAACAAACATACCTCCTATTTTAATTAACACAGTTTGACGTCGCGAACCAGAAAATTAGTTATTTCTCTATTTTAATTGGATAAAAACTTTTAATTTAAAACTGAGCGAGTGTTTCCTGGTGGCTTTGCGCATATGTTTTACAGCGAACATTTAGTTTTGTAAAACCTTCGTCTTAACTATGATAGACATTTTGATATTATTTCTTAATTCAAACTATATAAAAGGAAAAAATGCTGTATGACGTATGTTATGTGTCTGATAATAATAATGTGTTGTTGTTTATTTTTAGTGGACTTGTAATATTGCTCATATCATGACTTTGTGCTTCTATTACGTTATTTCTACGGTTCCGTATACATGACCTTTACAAGTCTATATATAAAAGGTAAGTAAGTGATACACGATCAACACGCCAACCGTCAAATGGGATAAATAACATGTTGTGTGGGTTGAGTTGTTAAGGTTCTATTTTTGTTATGTCGATTGTATATTATTTACTCAAAAATATTATTCGACAAAAGTGTGCTTTTCTTTGAATCCAATTTTCAATAAACATATACAGCAAAATGGAAAAATAACATAAAATGTGTGTTTCATTATCAAATTTTCATTCTTATTAGAACAAATTTGTAATATGTATTATATACTTGTAACTGACTCACACAAACCAGGATAGAGCATTTGTCTTTCTTTAACGTCAACTCCGCAGTCCTTACAGAATCAAAAGGTTTTCCACAAATCAAATCAAATTTAAATGAGAAAATAATTAAGATGAAGCATCCTTTTTGTAACTTTTTGCAGCTATCATGAAGCTAGCTTTTAGTGTGAGCCCGTCTTAAGTAGTGACATTTAGTGAGAATCCGTTTTAAGGAGCTAAATATAGTAAAGCTAATATTTAGTGTGAGCCATTCTTATGAAGCTATCGTAAAGCTAATATGTAGTGTGAGCCCGTCTTATGTAGCTATCGTAATGCTAATATTTAGTGTGAGCCCGTCTTATGTATTTATCGTAAAGTTAATATTTAGTGTGAGCCGTCTTATGTAGTTATCATAAAGTTTATATTTAGTGTGAGCCCGTCTTATGTATTTATCGCAAAGGTAATATTTAGTGTGAGTCTCTCTTAAGTAATTATCGTAAAGCTAATATTTAGTGCGAGCCTGTCTTATGTAATTATCGTAAAGCTAATATTTAGTATGAACATGTCTTATGTAGCTATCGTAAAGCTAATATTTAGTGTGAGCCATTCCTATCTATAGCTATCGTAAAGCTAATATTTAGTGTGAGCCTGTCTTATGTAGCTATCGTAAAGCATACTAATATTTAGTGCGAGCCCGTCTTATGTAGCTATCGTAAAGCTAATATTTAGTGCGAGCGCGTCTTATGTAGCTATCGTAAAGCTGATATTTAGGGTGAGCCCGTCTTATGTAGTTATCGTAAAGTTAATATTTAGTATGAACATGTCTTATGTAGCTATCGTAAAGCTAATATTTACTTATAAACATGTTATGATTTCTTGATTCAAACTATATTGAATGAAAAAATAATGCTGTTGATTACTGTTTTGTGTCAGATAATAATAATGTGTTGTTGCTTATATTGAATTTAATAATGAGGCAAACAAGTCTATATATAAAAGGTAAGTAAATGATACACGATCAACACGCAAACAATAAAATGTGATAAATAACATGTTATGTGGGTTGAGTTGTTAAGGTTCTATTTTTGTTATGTCGATTTTATTGCTTTACACAAAAATAGTATTCGACAAAAGTGTGCTTTTCTTTGAATCCAATTTTCAATAAACATTTACAGCAAAATGGCAAAATACGTAAAATGTGTGTTTCATTATCAAATGTTAATTCTTATTAGAACAAATTTATAATATTTATTATATACTTGTAACTGACTCACAGGTACGTCAACTTCGCAGGCCTTACAGACGAGCCCTACAGGCNAATGTGTGTTTCATTATCAAATGTTAATTCTTATTAGAACAAATTTGCAATAATACCAGGTGTTGCAAAGGGGAAAACTACATAAAATGTCGAACAAACTATGAAAATAACAATACGTATTTATCAATCCATGTAAATAACAAAAATATATGATTCTTAAAAACATTATGGATAACACTGCGTCAGAAATTCCGTTTGTGGGAAATTGTCACTTGTGGTTAAAGTGGTCTAAGGTCGTGAATATTACATGTGAAAAATGTCGCTGAGATTCACTAAATTCAACTGATCTGATTCATTTGTACAAAACATCGGATAGTTTATTCACGTTTAGATCTAAAAGACATTCTAGGGCAAATAATAAAGGGAGGTAACACCGGGTGGTGAAAAGGGAGACAACTATGGACAAAACGTTGAACAAACTATGAAAATAACAACATAATTAGTTATCAAACCACGCGAATAACAAAAATATACGACTATAGAAGAAATACCTTGTGAATAACACTACATGAGAATTCCAATTTGAAGGAAATTGTCACCTGTGGTTAGAAATGGCTACGGTCGTGGAACATAAGTGTGTAAAATGTCACTTTAAAGTAAATTAATTTCAATCGTTACATATGTTCAAACTATCTTAACATTTAACTCATGTATATGTCTTAAAGATTCTCCTTGATATAGGTGGAGAAAGGACATCTTTAGTAATGACCACTCACATCGTAGCACACCAGCATACCCTGTCTCCTGCATACACACACGCTAACAGCCTTAGCTGTTAATAGGACGTTTAACAAAATTAAACCAAACCAAACTAATATCGCATATTCAAAAGCAGTTTCAGAAGTTTTGTCTCGTGTTTACTTTATGGATTTCATCATTGAAAGATCTGGAAAATAAAATGCGATTTTTTTATTTATTTTTATTAAAATCACCCTTGAAAGTTAGTTCTTGTTATATTGTCTATATTACTGCAACGTATACAGCATTATTGTATTATACACAACATAGATGTAGTATACCTTATAATACTGCAATATAACAGCATTACTGTTTACAGAACTGAACGTATGTCTAAGTTGTATAGATCAATGTGCACGGGCGCCAGTAGGTGCTACGCTCTGTGTTATTGTGGTTTAAATTTATCACTCTCTACAGTTAGAAACTATATTTTACCAGAATTCACGTGATTTTCAGAACAAAGCAATTTTTATGTGCCACTAATTAATTGTGAAAATCACAGAAAAATCTAAATTGTAAATATTTTTTTATTCAGTTTCAATTAATATTTTAATGTGATGTCGGAAATTCAACATATAGGTTAGATGTAAAATAGATTGTGTTACACCATTCATAATCTTATCACATTTCTTAGAATGCGATATCATCACAGAGGACTGATTATTTATGCATGTATTCTGCGTGTGAAATAAATCATATTATATTGTTTTATCATGAGCAAACAGATTAAACTTGAAAACGCCTTATTCCCAATAAATATTATTCGTAGCCCTGAGTAAGAACTAGTAGATACGATTACTTCTATTGTAATCAAATAAGAGAAGTATACTTTTTATATGGTATGCTCCAGTGGAATGTAGTGCCAGTATCTTTAAGCACTGTAAGCATTTAGACTTCTACAGTTTAATAAAATCTGTTTGCTTTCTTCTTCATCAAAATTTATTTAACATCCTTTAATCGAATCCGGATTTTTACTTCAAAAAGAAGCATGGTTTAAATGTGAATTCTAGCACACTACATTTGGAATTTTATATTTTTTTCTTCACGATTAAGGAAATGACATGTTTGATTTCAAGTTACTGTAATATTAGTATGTGTCATTTAAGAATGCTGTAAATATCATTAGATTGATAAATATTTCCGAGTAAACAAAAAATAAATTATCATCTCATCACAAAGAAATCCCTGTAGTTTTACCCCAGCTTGACTAAGTGATAAATATGAAATTCAGATGATACTTTAATGTGGTGAAGATCGTGTAAACAAAATCAAGAAAATTTAATTCTTGTTCAGGATTAAAAATGCCTAGAAGTCCCTGTGAACCTAAGGCTTAAAGTGGTGATCGGCAAACTGACAATCAAATCGCACGAGCTCCAATCGCCGACTGCGAGGGGCGGGACTTACGATTAAGCAACCCGTCGAGCAAACAACTTGGCCTGAAAACATTCCAGCACAGTTCACAGTTAGTCGGCGATACTCTCCACTCATCGATCGTCTGCTTATGTTACCGCTGATAGTTTTGTCTACTTTAAACTCCCGATAAAGTCGACACTTCAGTACATACCCATAGCCTTGGACTAAATATAGCGGGATATCTGTGCCTAAATTCATATAACAAACAAATATTTTTTATTATAACTGTGACTTCGTGATAAAAAGAAACTTTCTGTTGACAATTGTCATCTGTCGCCTGATGTTTGCTCCGCGATGATCGGTACGTTTGTGGAGCGCAGCGATCCCCAGCATCTGTCATCCCCGGGGGTAGGTTACGGGCACCCCGAGGGTAGCGCCATGGTGCAAAATCAACAGTACGGCTACTATAACAGTCAGACCAGTGGATACGGTGTACCGTACAGCAACGTCGGAAATCTTAACTCTAGGGAATTATTCCTCCGTCGGACGGCGGAGTTTGGACTTTCTGGAAGTGATGTGTCCAGTAACGTTAGTTCTCGTCCAGGGATGTTGTTTCCTCCGCCGTCCAGTGGCTTCCACTCACAACATCATCAGGAAGTGAGTCCGCATGTCCTACTACAGGGACTACACGACGTTACGTCATATCATAACCCAAGACAGCACATGCATGGTCAACCTGGCTACTACATGTCGGGACATAGTCCGGAGTACATTTCCAGAAATGACCAAATGGGACTAAATCCGGCCACGAGACCGGAACAGTACGGTCACGAGAACCAGCCCTTTATGAACCCTATAAATATGTTACAGAACGGGACTGGCCCCTTTTTCAGATACATGCGCCCCCCTATAAAACAGGAACGCACGTGCATGTGGATTGATACGGACCAACCGGAGCCTAAGAAGCCGTGTAACAAAGTATTCTTTACAATGCATGAGATTGTGAATCACATCACAATTGACCATGTCGGGGGGCCGGAGCAGGCCAACCACACCTGTTTCTGGCAGGAGTGTCCGAGGGAGGGCAAGCCCTTCAAGGCCAAATACAAACTAGTAAACCATATCCGTGTCCACACTGGAGAGAAACCGTTTCCCTGTCCATTCCCGGGCTGTGGAAAAGTGTTCGCCCGCAGTGAGAACCTCAAGATTCACAAGAGGATACATACGGGTAGGTTTATATGAAATTACTGTAATATTTACATAAATAAATAAACCAAATGGTGAACCGAACCGACAATTATTTGGTGTAAAACTGATGTAAGCTATATATGATTGTTATCATCATTTACATTAATGTGATATGACAAAAGGCGAAGGATTTTGGGTAAATGGTCAAGGGAAAATCGTGTAAATTTACAATAAAGAACTTATATTAAACTAGCATATAATTTTGGACAGAAAACATGAAGTTAAGAACGATTAAAAAGACTGGTGGAATTTGTAAACGTATTTGAAACTTTGGATTTGAATATTGTTGGACAAATCATCGTTTAGAACGATCAACTAACTTCGTCCATTTTAAATTATGAAATATATCATGTTGAAATTATACAGAACAAAAATCGCACATCTGTATACTTAAAATTCAATGTTAGTGTGATTTAAGTCGACTGAAACGTAATTTTAATAATGAAAATCTATAAAATATTTCAATGAAATTTAATGAAATAATATCAACTTGATTTAGTAAATCAACTCTTTAATGTTATTAGGAAAACTAAACATCAGCCAAATCTGTTTTAATTTGTTACAGAAAAATATAATGTGGTTTTATTAACCCAAAACATGGAGGAAATAATTGATGATTTAAATATTTCGTAATATAATATGACGTGTACTTTACCACCGGTGGCTGTATGGCTAATGAAATCAACCCAGGAACCAGATCCTCCCTCTTATTTATCTAGTAATGGTCCACTTTGTATTAATTAGTGTGCTCAAGATTTTAATGACACATGATCTTCATTAAGTATCTAGTAGTATACTTACTCCATTTCAAGGGGTCCACTTCAAGTGAAGACGATAGATACCTTATTCAGAATCTTTAAGATTTTTTTAGATTTTAAATTTTAAATAAATCATAATATAAATAATTTTAAGTGTTTTGTAATCAAAATATAAATAAATGTTTTATTTGAAATATTTTATACAATAAAAACAACAAATCGGAAAGCAGGCAAGTTGTGTTTCAAATGATGTCGTTATCATATCAGCTAGAAGCCTATCATATGTTAACAATATCAGATTAATTGGAATGCAAATTATATTTTATTTGCGTCAGAGCTAAATAACACTTCTCAAGAAAGCAGGTTAATATGATGGGGAACAGAAGAACAATGTAATGTGTCAACTTTGGAAAAAATAATTTAAAAAGACTTTTACAGAATAACATCATTTATAAAACGTAAATAACAGGAGTGTTTCTTAACATTCTCTTCGTGTTGATAAGTATGGATTATGAACAGTTTCTTGTTACACAGCACTTATTGGTTGTTTAACAAGAAATTTTTCATAATTGTAAATAACAAGAAAGTGGTGTATTCAGTGCTTATAACTGGTGGGCAGGGTTTTCAGACTTGATATATGTAGATAGTATATAAGATTTCATATATTTTGTTCAATATTAAACAATTATGTTTCGCTAAGACAAGGTCTATTGGTACACACCATTTGGAAATCATTTTGTGTTAAAAGACCACTCACAACCCCAAACATTATTTATGCTTGTGTCAAAATAATAAACCAGCTCCGAGAATCTAACGCCGGGTCGTGTTCTACAGGGTTTTATTTGTTGGTAAAACTCTTATGAAGAATTCCCATCAGCTGTTTTAAAAGTCTTTAAGTGCGAAACCACATCTTAAAATGTGTTTACCATATGAAACGTACATTTGTCATGTTACTAAATATCCCTGTGGCCCACCAAAACACCACAACCGTGTCCCTCCATAGGAAGAAACGTCGTCAAGTAGCCATTATAAATATTTACAAATTCCCACCGGCTTCGCGTTGTCTTGTTCCCGACCATGTTTGGATGCTATGTAGGCACTTGTGTCTTCTATGATGATGGCGGTATAGTAGTATATAGTCTACATACAGATATTGCGTCGGTGAGGCTAACTCAAAACTCTCAAAGGCAGATGTTATTTCGACCAAAGTCTCCTCAAGTCCCCCCGTGAGAAATTGAGTGTGTGTATTTTCCCTGTGCGCTTCCAACCGTCATTATGTGCCCTCGATATATATTGAAAACATATCCCTAACCGGTGCAGATCGTATGAAAAACGACTCCTCTACGCCTCTGTAAAGTCCGCTATTGTAGATGGGAAAACACATATAAAAAACGTGATGATTATTTCGACAGAAATGCCCTCAACTTTGATCTAGTTTGCTAGAGATTTCCGCGGTCACATTTTCTCCATTTTTCTGCTTTTTAAGCTATGCTTAGAATCGGGAAACAGAAAATATGGTTGATACGTTTGAAGTGAGCTAGTGTAATTATTGCTACATGTACCGGCTCTCGATGTCTTCCTCATCAACTTCGGGCCTGTCTTAAAGGCGGTTTACATCAAAGGAAAAATAATTAATGACTGGATAATTGATCCATGGGTATTTTATATTAAATATGAGATTCGTTTTCGTTCTTTAACTGTTGAAGTAGTGAGAGCTTTGGTATAGAAGGTGTGCTTAATTTTTATATGAACATTCTTGACGAGGTAATAATATCTGTACATATGTTTAGGAAGGTTATATGTGATGAGGAACGTCACCTACAAGGGATGTGGCTTCAACTTAAGTCGGTAAAGACCAAGTCGTAATCTCTAATACACTTTCTATTTGAATGCCTTTGATATCGTTAATTGGTCTGTTAGCCAAGCCGCGAGTATGATATTGTTATAGAATATCTAAATTAAATCATATTATATGGGACGCTATGTACACCAATGAGTAATTGCAATGAATTTAAGTAAATTACTTATAAGTTATTTTATTCGTGGAAGAAAACTTCTTCATAATATATGATGTGACTCAAAGAATATTCAATCTTATCTGAACAGGAGGTACCGTTCAATTTTTTATTATAATTAATATTTTGCGTTTTAAAAAAAGTATTTTGTTTTTGTAAAATGATACTAAATGTAAATTTGAAAATAATTTTCCCTAAAGAAATGTTTTTAATATACTCTGTAACTGAAGTTGTAGAAGGAGTATCTAATGTTGTCAAATCCTTAATGAACTGATGGAACTAGTAATGATTATTGACATTAGATGTGTAATTAGATGTTTGATACCGATGCTGTTAAGCTGGTAGGAGGGGATATGTAAACTAATATAGTTAGTGAGCAGATTTAGGAGGGATGTAACCCAGACATTGTGAATAGGCTGTGTTAGGTACTGCTTATAGAAAGAGGAATATTACAATACTGTCAAATCATAGATATACATCTAAAGCAGGTAAGAAATGGGAAATATCCAATATCTTATTTGAAAGTAATATTTCAGAAAAATATAACAACATTATAGGTATATTTGAGGAACGTTTACTGATATTTCAGAGGAATTCCATATCCATTTTTGTTTGGTTGATTTAAACAAATAAATATATACAGTTGTTTTGTATAGAACTTGTCCAGTTAATTCTATAGATTAGTTTATGAAAACAATGCTATTCCTTCCTTACAATTGGAAATAAACTTTGCAGTTGTCTGTGATTAATAAGAATTTGGGAAAACTTGACAATACATTGTTTTGCCAATAAATACCAGGTTATAGAATTTGAGGGGAGGGCATTGAATTAATTTGTTATCATGTCTTATACAATAAACATGTTACAAGGAGAAATACTATCAGAATTGTCAGACCTCTTAATGAACAGTTTACTGAACAGATTTCATGGAATGATTAAGTTAATTTATTAATGTGGTTTAGGGATAATATTTGTTGGAAATATTCTCAGGTAAATACCAGCAACTGTATTTTGAAGAATAAATAAAACTGGAAGGTAAAGGAATATTCTCTATTTAAAGTAGAGTTTATGATAAAAACTACCTAGACTGTAGTATTGTATCTGTTTTAATATATTTAATATGGATTATATACATAAGGGATTGAATACCATTAACTCTCCTCTTCTTATCCTCGGATTTCTGTTGATATGGAGGGGGGGGGGGGTGACTCTCATCATTCTTTTAACATAATTTTATCTTTCGAAGTTAAGCAATTCAAGTTCCGAAATTATGCTTTTAAGTGATGGAAATTAGGATAAAAACTGCAACATTCAAATAATCAAAACAGTACCTAAATTTATAATAAACAGAAAGAACAAAAGAGAGACGTTTTGATACCAAATATAAAAATTGAAAATTAAAGAATCATAAAATACATTATTGATAAATAATACCTTCATATCTGCCCGTGACACCCTTTACACAATCTACTTATTATCTGTAAATATTTTTTGTTGAATACACTTTGATGATATACATTGTTGTATTTGCTGTTTGGCGTAAGATTGAAGCTATATGTATGTATACCTCAAAAGAAATCACTATGATAGAAGAAGGGAAAATGTATAACGAGACATGAAAGGTGGACAAACTGAGTAGTCAGTACTAACCCATTTTGTCCCTGTGTTGTCTTCACTGGAGCCATTAAAATTAGAAACTGTCTAGTTCACTCATATATTCTGTCAATAATTCGAATTTAACTAACTTTTACTTTTAACTAGACTAAATTATTGTTATATATGTAGGGAAGGAGAAAGTTGTTAAATCTTATTGTTAAATCTTTTGTGTATGAAATACAACGAAAAGGCTTTAACAATATGAAAGTACACATTATGGTTAGCAATTCAATTTATGAAAACAAAAAATATAAATCCTTAAAAGATTTGTCAATGAGATATATCGACCACAGCCTGAGGCAAGTTGTATGAAATACGACTTTAATGTTTTACATTTTTTATGTAATCGTAAGATATTATAGTACGGCTTTTATTAACATTTTGTCAGGACGCCTATAGACTCACCTGTGTGTAAAGTTTACAATGAAATAGTTTCTCATTAACTAAATGTGTTGTTACTTATGTAAAGTTTACTTTGGGTGAAAATAAAATACATTCGTATATATATTAATGATATGTTTCATATCATATTATTTAATAAACAAACGTGTGGTTAAGTGGCCTAGACGAGGGTCTCACATCCCTGTAACACTGGTCAGTGTACATAACAAGACCAGCGTTACGGTGACCACTGTACAATTTAACCTTATGTTGCTGGTAAACATTGGGGGTATTGTAAGAGATTTCTGGATTAAAATGAAAACTGAGACGTGTGCTTCGAGAGAAATATAATAAGGAATATAGAATTTCTGTTATAATTATCTGGGCAGGACGAGCAATTTAACTAGTAGTCGCTTGTGTAATGAACAATAATGGGTTTGGTGTGCTCTGTCGTATAATGAAAGTATCAAGTATCAGCAGAAGAAAATCGGAACATTATGCTATTCAATTAGTGTTATGTAAAATCCTACATTGTGTTGATAATTGACAGTAATCCTATATATATATCGGTATGGGAGTGTGTATATATCTATACACAATGAGACAGCATATATTTATTATTCTAATAGAATTTAGCTCAACACTCTTGGTCTCTTTACAAAAATAATGTACGAGTAGCATATATTTATTATTCTAATAGAATTTAGCTCAACACTCTTGGTCTCTTTACAAAAATAATGTACGAGTATACGAGTATTTAAAAAGATCATTGCTGAACTTGATCCAAATTTTAAGATGGAAAATTATAATATATTAATTACTTGTGTAGCTTGCCGACTTTTATGACTTACTTGGTCCCATTTTGGACCAAATAAATTGTTTCTGTCAATCATTGTTTCTCAAAATAAAATAGACATTGTATTTTGAGTTTTCAAAGCCAAATGCATTTTATGCACAGCGATTAAGTAAAAATAGCCAAATTAAGAAAATAACCCAGATGCTACATTGTATATTCCAGTTTTATTGCCATACAGGTATCTACAGTGCTTTGCAGAGATGTTAAACTAACGGGAATTGCGTAATACCTAACGAATAAAGTTCTTGTATCCAATTCCGCCGTACACACATACTTATTGCCGTCGGTTTGGAACCATTTACTCCCAAATTTATCACCGGAAAATTCCGTGATTTAAAGACATAGTACATATCGATTACGCCGCGACGACGTGGTGACGGCGGTTCCAACTTTGCTTACGGGAACTTAATGATAAGTGATGTTCATTTCGTCTATTATTGATCAATTACACGATTCGAACGCGCCGCCCTAATTATCAGAAGAAATAATCCCCGGGAGAGTCAAAACAACTGGATTATTGGTTGATGGAGCTCCTGATGGGAAAATCATAGAGCTGATATTGTATAACGGACGACGGGCCCGTCTGGGGAACAGGTTGTTTGGGGGAGGAGAAGCAGCTCGCCCAGGCGGTGTTACGTCTAGCGAGGGGGAGGGGGTCGACAGCAGATCACGAAGTCGACATCCCACAGGGGGCATTTCAACCATAGCTAACTAAACCACACCGTTTACAGGGACAGCCCGGACAACGCTTGTTTACATTAAATAAAATGTCTGAAGACATTCCAGTTTTGTTTTACTTTTAAAAGTATTTATTTCAATTCATTCAATCCCAATAAATGTGATATATTTATTTTTTAAAGGTTCGGGAAAGTAAAGAAACAAAACCAATTTTGAACAACTATGAAATAGGCTGTGTATGGTAGAACGCTCTTTAATTTATGTGGAAATTCATATCATATCTATTATGTTTTGTTTAATATTGTATTGTTAATGTAAACTTTGCGTAAATTGTATCAATCGTTAATTTAATCATTAAAAACTATAAAAAAAAAATATCAGAGTGCATAGCATGTATCCTTCAAACCAGAGTAAAATATATAAAACATATTCGCTGAAGATATCTGTCGTAGTAGGCTAAGTTTTATGTTCTATACGCAGTCAGTTTAAATAAAATTAATCTTTCTAAAAATTCAAAACTGAACATATTAAAACATTTATCACAGTCATAGTCCAATATCTTATCGCAGTCCCTACCCATCGAAACCGAAAGTGGGTGGAGCCCGATGTCGTTTGTACATACAGACAGAATTAATGGGCTAATGTTTTTACAGTGTATAATCTGTGGAGGATCACCACCCTGACGTTTTAACTCTCCCAACTGTAGCTCACTGGGCTGACAGACGTAAGATACGACTGTAATACTCGGATAGATTCGGGATTCGTCTGTCTGTTCGTTGTCATTTATTAGGCTATTTGTTCTGCCTCTAAATATTGCTTTTTCTTTTCTTTGTTGCTCCGTCAGGGTCTCTCCTGTAATGATTCGCACTCAGTCACCTTATTGACTTTTGTGATAGAAAACACTGCTTGTTTTCTTTTCAATGATGGAATTGTCTTTCATTTATTTATAAATATAAATAAAAATAGGTAAATTGATGAAAGGAGTTACAATTTGCTCCAACAATTTTCACATTGTTAGCTCTTTCGGTAGACTTCTTTCATCAATAATCTACTTGCATATCCTCAATCACACACAGACATTTTTTTTTTATTATTTCTGCTTCTGATAAACTGTTTTGTTCCTTTCGATGATTTTTTGTCCATTTATAAGATAAGCGAACATCTATACATTTATCACCAAATAATGTCACAAACACTTATATGGTAGGGACATTTTGATAGAAGATATCAGCATTAATAATGTATTGTAAATATACTGTAGATATCGGTATTAATAATTTAAATGTACAATATACCAATGATAATAATTCACTTCAAGATAAAAACAGAAACAAAACACACACACTTGTTCAGTCCAAGGAAACAAGTTGAGATATTTCACCTGTTATATAAAAACGTTGCCACATGAATATAGAACAGACACACTAGTCTTCTCTGCTCAACAAAAGCCGACGTTTTTCTTTTACAATGTCGAGGAACTTATTTGTCATCTGTCCATTCAGCCTCGCAGCATTAAGTCGATAAGACCATTATGTGACTGTGAATAACACTGCGTTGTTGTGTATACAGGTCGACCAAGTCCTTCTCACAGATCAATTGGGCTTAAGTAGACCACTTTCCTGTGCTAGATATGTCCGAATAGAGCCCATTCTTACAACATTCCATAGTTTGTGATGTCAGTTTCAAGGCCAAGTGCTCTATTCGCACGTGGAACTCAAGAGTGCAATGTTATCCATATGGAAGTGTCTTAGACATCCGAAAATCTCTATTCCTTGAGCGCGATACCGGGAGTTCAGTTCTATTACAAAAGCTTATTACACATACAGCTGTAATATCAAATTATATAGAATAAAAGAAGGGAAAACCCCAGACATTCCAGCAGCTTCCTTGCACTTTCAACTCTTCAGAGGGCATTTATCTTAACACTACATAGTATATGTTTCCACATCAATAAAAGAGGTTTTAAGTTTATACCTACGTCGGAAAAATGGTATTAATTAACGTCCCGTCGATCTGTAGGTTTACGTAGTTGACGCATGCGAATGATATTGGAACTAACTAGCTTATTTTTCCAGAACCCTAATGCCTCTTTTTATAAATTATCCCACAAATAAATAACATCAAAATATATCACAAAAATTGTTTAGCTTGCGACGATAGAAGTGTTCTCTCAAGAGCTCCCAGGTCTCTCCCTATTAGACAATGAACCATAATTTATCATTAATGACAGAACATATGAACCGATTACACACTTCATACCTTTTACTTTCTAAAATATAATTTCTCGGTTGGTAACGAAATTTCTTTATTTATATTTTGCAGGAGAGAAACCCTTCAAATGTGATTTCGATGGATGTGACCGAAGATTTGCGAACAGTTCCGACCGGAAGAAGCACAGTCACGTGCACACGAGTGATAAGCCGTACAACTGCCGAGTGAGGGGATGTGACAAAAGTTATACTCACCCGAGCTCCTTACGTAAACACATGAAAATACACGGGGACATCTCCCCTGACATGGAGAAATCAGACTCGGAGTCTCACTCAGAGAGCAGTGAATCAGTGTCAAGGACAACACCTTCAAATGACGTCACGATGCACTCGCACCAATCTCCGCCTTCAGCAGAAAGTGTTCCTGAATCGAAACCCATTCTGACGTCATCCGCTGTGACGTCACATATGGATCAGAATAATGGAATTCCTGTACCGGAAGTGCCTAAATTAAATGACTGGTTTGTTTGCCACCCACGAACAATGACTTCTGCCCCTTCTAAAGAACACGCATCATTCCCTTCTATAGCACCTTTGTCATCATTTCACCCAATGCCCATCATGCAATATTCGTAACAGGAAGCTGCGTAATGTGTTTTCATTGTGACCTGTTACAAAGATCTGAAGAAAACGTGTCGTTCATTGTTCCAAAGTCGTGAAAGTTATGGATAGTCTTCATTGCGAAGATTGTAAAGTGTATTGTAAACAATAATTGGATATTTCGTATATAAATATATTATATAGAAATTCATATATTATATAAAAATTATTAAAATATCAATGTTTTAATGGAAAAATATTAGTTTATTATTCTTTTATTAATTCTTTTAATGAATCACGAAATAGATATTATAATTTAATAATGTCAAATGTTTTTCAAGTAACAGTTACATTACATTCTTTGAGAATACTATATCGGTAATACTCTACTGGTTTAAGCGAGGTTTTCATGTTTTGAAGTTAAACATATTTAATTAAATCAAACGCAGAACGTTGCTTTATTAACCAAGAACGTAATTATTGGTATTAATGTTTCATTTATTTTGATTAAAAATAGTAATATTCATCAGGACGATTCCATTAATAATAAGCATTTTTTAACACTCATGCTACCGTAGTTGCTTAATAAGGAGTAATGGATGTCAATTGAGCGTTGCAATATTGCTTAAATGATATTTGTGCTAAACATATTTACAATATGGCAGTGATATGTAATCGTTAATGAAAACGGGTTAGATGAAACATTCTTTTCACGAGGTTTGAAACAATATTGTAGTAAGGAAAACGTTAGAATCATATTATGTAAGGTTATATTTAATTATATTGGGCCATTGGCTTTATAAACATTGCAGTTTATTGAAAAACAGTTTTGTTCTCCGATGAATAAGTTCTACAATTTTCTATATTACAGTTTTTACCATACTTAAGAGAAAAATAACAAAGGGCAATCTATTAGAAAGTCTTTTACTTGTGTTAATACGATACAACAAGACAAACTTTGAGGTTTAGTTGCTATCTTACTGATTCTACACTTAATCTACGGAAGGATACATGAAACCCTGTTTAAAACGTTAGAACGTTTATGTTAAATAAATCAAGGTATTTTTTTGTATATAACATCTGCCTCTGGGAGTGGTTTATGAAAGTCATACAGAAAACACATCTCTTACTCGTGGTTTGAAATAACATTATAAAACAACATGAATATCACCGTCCCCTTGTCCAAGCAATACACATCCCAAACCATGACCATGAGAACAGAATAGGTGTATTTAATTTATCACACGTGACGCTTTCGCTATATAGGTAGACGTAACCAGTAGACACAAGTGGTTGGGAACAAAGTTGAATGAAACTTGAAATATAAGAACAAAGAGAAGTATAAATTGATATATTATTAGGTTGTATATATCCGCTTCATCGATGACACAATCCATTGATGATTGCTATTATGAAGCTTAATTATGATATACTATCATGTAAGGTTCGACGAAGTTATCTGCAAATTCTTATTCAAATTCAGTTTCCATACACTATAGCCAATCTATCTGTTTATCTAAAGAACATAACAACCTACTAACCTAACTATATGCTAACCGTCTACCTTCTAACCTAACTAGTAATTTAACTATCTTCAGTAACTAAATACCTTCCAACGACCAATTACCTTTAAAGCTAACTACACACTACGTGCTCTAGTTATAACTATTTGGATATACATTGTGTACTTGTTTTACTTGACTTAAACATGACACCTTTCCAAGATTTTTATTTAGCTGTGTGAATAGGACATACATGGGAGTAACCCGCGAATAGACTGACCTCCTTTCCCTTATAGTACATTGTGTATGACATTGTTCTCGAACGCTACAGTATAAAAAGGTTTTTACAATATTTGGATATGAATAACAGACAGTAGTTGTACCTTGATTATCTTTTAAAAAAATGACAATGAAACCTTCCGATTGATGAATAATGGCGGATCGTATCAGGACTAATTATAACCGCTCTCTCTTTCACAAGTCCGCAAAGACCTGACATTTCACTTATTACTAAGGGGAAGTTAATGGTATATGCTATTTCTTGTTGTGGCAGGTTCCTCCTCCAGGATGGTCACATAATGAAAAATTGCAATATCAACATTTAAGCAATGAATTGCAATTAAAATGTTTCTTAAAGAAAGTAATTTTTACACTTATCACAATTAAAAATAAAATACTATCCACTTACTTATGAAGCAGCCTTACATTGGAAAATAAATATGACAAGTATATTCTTTTTATTACATATACTTATATAATACGTGTATGTGAAATGTTCTGGTTAGGCGGTCCATGTATATACACCAATATTTATTTTATAAGTAACATCCGCATAAACCTTCAAGTCCATGTCAAAAAGAAGCAAAACATACCTATTTGAAAAAGTATATATTGAGAAATTTAGTAAATGCTTTTATTTTTTGAAATTTGCCTGCTATGTATTTTTGTCACACGTGGGTTCAAAAACTTGTCGCTATAATCTTTCATGAAAGTTAAATTAAGATACATAGGATTCTTCAACAATGATTGCAAAGGTGATCCATAACAAACTACAGCAAAACAACAAGAACCGTATTCAAGTTTTGACTATTTAAACACACGCGTTAACAGGTTTACAAGTTGTGAAAACAAGCGAAGATACTTCAATATCCTTTCCAATGGTAATCTTATCCTTTGGTACAACTGCAAATATCACTGAAACACCATATTCACACTAAAACATAATACATAATACATTACATATTTATATCAAACAAATTACATTTAATATTTACACAGAAAAATGTTAACACTGAAACCTTGCATTGCATATTACATTTAATTGTATTACACTTCAACATATCGAGACTGAACACATTATGTTTCATTTCACCTGAATCATATTAGTTACCTAATCACTTTGAACCTTATGACATCATATATCAACACTGAAATTAATTCAGAGGAAATTACATGTTCACCATGAAACATATAACAGATTGTTGCCATAGTGAAACGTCGTCTAATTAACATGACGCGAAGTTCTGCTGTTGGAAAACTCAGGGTTGTGTTTAACTCATTTACCCCTGAAGACACATTTAAACTCTTCCAATTCCGAAGTTGGATTTTTTTTATATATATTTCAGGGGTGAATGAGTTAATCTACAACAACTTGCCAATGTCCTGAACCAACTTTGATGAGCAAATGTATACATAATGCAAGCATATCTGATACAGACTTGCATACGTCAGAAACATTAAGTCAATAATTATATTCGAATTAAAAGAGAAAAAACAACAACTGAAATGACTACATTTTTGGATAATCTGATATCAACTGTCAATATTGCCGGAGATAACACAAGGAACTAAATACTTATCACGACACCTGGTCTCAGTCTTATCAATCGTCCTAAAATCAATGGTATCTACAGTGAATATTTTAATGTGGATAGGATCATTTTGAATGTATGACATATGTTCCTTTTATTTAAAAATATATATGAAAATGTCACAATTTCGTTTTAATGTGACAAAAAATCCTAGAAATATATAAAAACACTTTGTCATGCATATATGCACATAGATCTTCAAAGGAAAACATACGAAATCACAATGGAAACTCCATGTAAGACATTTTGTGAAATGAATTACCATACCATTACAATAATAGACGCATAGTCATATCTACCCGAGATTCAACAAATTAGAATACTTTTCAGTATTAAGATAATGCAACGTTACTTTTATATTAAAAGAAAATATATGCATACATGATTATTTACAAATGTGTGGCGAGAGAAAACTTTTCAGCCCCCAAAAAAATTGCGGAATAACAATTTGATTAACAATTTAATGTTTTACATTAAATGAAAATGTATGCATACATTATTTTTTTTATTTACAATTGTGTGACGAGAGAAAACCTTTCTGCCCCAAAGGTATCTTACAGATGTCTGACTAGGCTACAAATGAACCGGAACAGTAAGATTTAATTTTCTCACGATATAGGTTTCCTCATTGCCAAATCGTTTGAAAACCTGTTCAGAGATGGCAAACAATTTGTGTTACCCACTAGGTATCACGCTGGATGTTATGTCATTCCCCAACCGTCTAACCTTTGTAAGCCTCGTGTCTTTGAACAATTTAAAGAATAATTCGAGTTAGATAAACATACTAACTAAGCATCACCCGTTTAGGAACAACTTTGTAACCATACTATAACTTGTTACATGGATTCCAAATCAGCGCCTTAAAAAGCCAAACATAAAACATTTGTTTGAAACAAGATATTAACAAAATAGTGCTAGATTTATATGAAAGGTGTATTTTAGTTTATTCCTATATAACTATAAATCGTATGTGACTGGGGTGTTAGTCACATGTAACCCATTAACATTCTGTTATAAGCCAAAAACGTGTATGTTTTAAACTGACAACAAATGATATCGAACTGTCGACAAAAACCTTCTTCGAAATCTTAATCGATAAAACTATGGCACAAAACTAGTATGAATAAAGGAAATATCTACACGGAGATCCTTGAAATCAATAAGGAGAATAGGACCAGGTTGTTCGGAAGGGTAAGCGTCTTCTTCTTCATTGATGACAATCACCATGTTAAACTATGTCAAATCTTAGTAATGTCACGTCCTCACATAGAGAGCTCGGGCAGTGACAACAAAACCACAAGGCACTCTATTGAGCAAAATTTGAAACCTCGACCATCTTACACACAAATGAAATAACATATTTCCCTTCGAGATCCTGATGTTCATAGTCTTCATCAACCTGCATCTTAGGAAATCGTGTTGTGAGTTTGTCCGTCAGCTGTCGACATCTGCAAACTGAGTATGTAAATGTGATAAGAGAACATTGATTATAATATCCTCTTAGGTAATGACAAAATGAAGACAAACTTATCAAACGTTGATGCATGATTCAATAACATAAAACTCTTGACTAGCATTTTTTTTTTTGACATTGATTAACCTTAGTCATGCCTTACGATTTCTTTGTCGTATCTGCAAGGAGGGGCATCGCATTGTTTTCTTCACGTAACTTTATTATTTATAACTAACATTTGACAACGTAAGTAATTTTCAATGAAGAAATCATCAGAAAAAAACCAACACTTTGCAATGTATTTCTTATATTCACAAGAGATGACACCGCCATTATACGCCCCCGTCCGATGGACGCTATCTCCTTTGTCTCTTAATGCTGAGAACAAGGGATGGATTTTGACTGGCATGACAGGAA